ACTGCAAACTAAAATATATTCCTGAAGATTAAATAGTTTTTCAACCCACAAATTAATGTTTCTTTCCCTCCTCGACCCCCAGCAAGTTCAAACCTACCGGAAAAAATCCCTTATTCAGCCTGAGCTTAACGCAGAGTCACGGAACTCTATTCGATCTGTCCGGGTAAACACTGACTAATGTAAGTTATGCCACGAAAGATTTTGAAGGCAAAAGTCCCGCTGATCTCATTGCTTTCGTTCAAAACTCTGTGTGAGAGCATGGGACAGCGGTACACATCGTCAGGTTATGCGGTGACTGTGTCCACTGCTCCTGTCGAGCAGACACTCTCTAAAGCGAATTAAAACGCTAGAAATATGACGGGACTCGACTTACAGCATTAGTTATTGTTGGAACTGAAACGCACAGATAACCTGTACAACAGAGTAATTTAAGTCTTCTTGAGGAAAGAAATAAGGATGGATTTTGTGTAAAAAATAATCAGTAGTTTTGGTGAGTATAATGCTTTTTTCCCGTGGTGAATATGATTTTCTTCTTAATTTTTCTTTTAAATTTATGATCGAAACTTAATTTTTTTCAAACATTCATACTATTGAAACGTCTGAAAAGGGACTATTGTAACCCTTGAACGACAAGATAAGGGAGGCTCCGTTTCTGAATTTATAATCGGAACGCAATTACAACTGTACACAGTGGCGCCTCCAGAAATTTTTCATAGGGGTGGCCAGATGGGGCCACTTAAAATCTTGGGGTGGCACACCAAAACTATAAACCATAATTTCAGAATTTTATTCTACTGTTGTAGTAAACCGGCCTGTAGAAAACTATCAGAAAGACTTAAGGAAACTCCTACTGATATACTTTGGTTTATTGTGTTATATTTAATGTTAGCTTACTAATGATATTAGTAGGGCCCTACTAATATATATTATATTATATATAATGATATATATTATATATATATATATATATATATATATGATATATATAAGGGCCCTCGCCCCACAGCAAATTTCCAGATACTTACATAATTGTGATGAATTTAATCCTTTTTAAGTTATTATTTTGCAGTGTAAGATTACAGTTAACACCTTTAAATATTACATAAATGTACCATGGATTTTTAATAAACTTAATGAGTGTATACACGGGTTTCTTGTATACAAACAATACCGGATGCGCGCGCATCCAGGGGGCAAAAAACCGCTGTCTGTTATGCCGAGTTCTGTAAAAGAACATTGTAATTAACGTAGATTTCGCATTGTTTGTCATTTCTTGTTGACTCAATAATAAACTGCAATTTCAGAGTTGGATCTGTTTGTTTGTGTTTATTAATATAACATTATGTAAAATGTCCAACTGTTTACGAATCAAAATCCGGACATACTGTGATGCATGTATGAATCATGTTAGACTAGTTAGTTTAACAAAGATGAATACATACTGTAACAAATGTTTTGTTCATTGTTAGTTAATAGGCCTACATTAACCTGTATGAATGCACCCAGTTTTAAGAAAACGCAACCTTTATTCACGTCTTTGTTGTTTTTCCGACAGTGCTAGCTAGTTTGTGTCTTTTAGCTCATAGCTTTAACGGCAGACTGTTGTACGTCGCGCTGTTGGAATCCTCTACGTTTACACCGTTTAGCTGTCAGCATTTTAACTGTTTAACCGGGACAATTTCATAGTGGTTGGTGTTACCCGAACCTCTGGTCACCCTACTAATAGTCTACCCACAGCGACACTTGGAATAGATTGTCAACCTCTGGACAACTTTGCACTTTGATAGAATTAGGCTAGCCAGCCAGCACATGATGGATTTAAACAATGGATTTGTATTCTCATTGGATGTTTAAAAAAGAAAAAGAAAAGGTAAGCTGCGATCTTCTAAGTTATATCTGCTGGGTTGGTTTGTGTTAGTGGAACAAAGCTAAAAGATTGTAACTCGAGGCTTCTGCCTTTGCTTTCCCTCTGCTTTTGGAAGTTATGGCAAAAACAACATCATAGAACAATATTGACGCAAGATATTTCTCCACATGATAAAACTGATGTCCATTGTTCCAAATATGGCAATAACTCATTTTTGACAAAATTGAAGTTAAGGTCTTTTGCCTTTGCACAGCAGTATGCTATAGCCTAAACCCTTTACTCCGGTACGACGACCGCGGGTCTTTTGCCCCCTGGTTGCGTGCGCAAGCAGTGATGACGTCGCCGAGAAATCCATGTATAAATCAGCAGCAAAAAGTAATTCTTGAAAAAATCTGCACAGTAATTTTATAAAATCTAAATATGTTAATAAAAACAAATTACTATTAGTTCTCTTATAAAATTCAATCAGGCAATCATACATTTCACAATTTTATATTTATATATTAATATCAAGAATTCAGAAGTGCATATATAGCCTACACTACAAATAAATAATATACAATTAAATTATGCTTATTTTAAATGTATTGAGCAGGCTAGGTATAACAAAATATATTGGCTTTTAATAATATTTCAGTGCGCAAACCTATGATAACATGAAAAACAGAGCGCACACAGCGTGTATGCGCATCACGGGTGCAGAATGATGTGCTCAAAGCAACATGGTGACTCTATGTGTGCAGCGCTGCGCTGCATAAGTGTGTATTTAAAAGTTCACGTCACAAAGCGAAGAAATGTCGAGCGCACAAATCCTAGTGCGATTTGTTCCTTTGTTTCAGTTTTATATTCCAGTTATTGCGCGTTTGATGCCGATTCATAGTCCTTGTGATGTGTGTGATGATCTAGCAAGCACACGGTAGTGAGTCGTTTAAAAACAACAAACTCCAACAAAATAAAGTAATTTTATGCAAATATACAGCCTTTTATCTACAGATCATGCATTATAATGTGAATATATCATATTGGAGAGAGTTTTACCGTGCATCCAAGAGGCGCGCGCGCTGTTTGAATATGAATGGAGAATGATTGACAGCCGCAGAGGAGGGAAAACGAGTTTCCGTATACTTTAATGATGTAAATAGACTTCTGTCCCTCACATTAAGCTATGGAATGACTTCAGATGACTTTGTCACCCAAACTGACGTAAAAAAAGCGAGAGGCGCCGAAAAGCGCGCTGTTTCCATCCCTGCTTGTCAAAACGTGGCAAAGACGTTTTGACAAAAAACGTCAAAAAAAAGCTGCTGTAACAGTAGCTATACTGTAACCATTTGGCACTTAAAAAGAACGTCACAACACATAATGCCCCGTCTTCTTTTACTAAAGAATATTTTTGACTTATTTATGAAATGCATAACTGATGCTACTAAAATTTATTCTGGCCATTGGGGTGGCCAGTGGGGTGGCCAGGAGTCGGCCAGGGGTGGCCACCCCCTGGTGGCGCCATTGCATTTATTATGCATCTGTTGATATGATTATGTTCTTTAGTATGATTGATGTTTTGGGGACTGTTATCCCAATATAACCAGTCAAATGGCCGTGATCAGACTGGCAGCTTACAGACGCTTACTGGCGCTCAACCAGTCAGCCGCGGCTGATACTGCGATAACGCGTTGCCTGACACTCTCGCTAAAAGGAAATAAATTGTTTTCTTATTATGAATATAATGTCATGCCTTTTATTCTTGTGTATGATTGATGTTTTTAGAGAATTTTATCCCAATTAAAGCAATCAAATGGCCCTGATCATGACTGGTTGCTATACAGCATAGCATATAAATAATAAAATAGCTATACAAAATAGCTATACAGTAGTAGAACTTAACATTCTAAGGCTGTAACGATATGCGATATGAAATCGCGACACTCAGATCCACGAACCCGCAGAATCGCGACACACCCCTTCCAACTCCAAGAGTTATCCTTCCCGTATCCAATGCTACCACATCTTTAAATCACTCTTAGTGTTATTTGAATTTTGAAGTTAACATTATAAAATACGTAGACCTACACCACAAAACTAGTTGAGGATAAATTATTTAAAATTGGGGAATTCCAGCGTTATGGACGTGACATGAGCAGTCAAAACTTGAAATATAAATTCTCAGAAAATACATTTAATAGCCTACCAATAGGCTATATTGGCCCCCTATTGAATGAACAGGGCTGAGATAAGATCTAACAAAGTTTCGCCGCAAGACAGCGATTTAGTGCACGCACTGAGACGAGAGCGGTATGTATCAACTCGTCTTAGTTAAGGGAATAACATAGTTTAATATGAAAAACCAGCTGTGGATTTGTTCCATATAAAAAGTAACCTTCTCTGTCTTGTCTGTCGGTGTCAGTGTCCTCTTTGTCCGCGATTTTTCTGTGTGAAAAGGGTCAATGCGTGATGGTCAATGCGTGAGAGTTGGCAGCTCTGCCTGCTAGTAATCTCTATTAATCTCCAGTATTATTACATTGTTTGATACAATATTGTTTCATTTGATATTATGTAAATATGAATTTTTATTTTATATTGGTTTTATTATTACCATATGTTACTTGTATTTATATTGTTTAAAGATTTAAGTTAATATTGTGTCCAGTTTGGCCCTGTAAATTAAAGGGTATTATTTTTTGATAAAGTGTGTGCGGTTTCATTTTCTTAAGTACCGATTTAAGAACCGTTTAAGCACCGGAACCGTTTAAAAAATACAGAGTAGGTACTGGAATCGGATAAAACCCAAACCTAGTCATGACCGAAAGGACAAGATCCCGGATACAGGCGGTCGAAATGAGCTTTCTCCACAGGGTTGCTGTGCGCTCCCTCAGAGATAGGGTGAGAAGCTCTGTCACTCGGGAGGAGCTCAGTGTAGAGGGCATCTTTTCCGGACGCCTTCCCGGGGGGGTGTTCCTGCTGGAGGGACTATGTCTCCCGAGTCCCGGCTGGCCTGGGAACGCCTCAGTGTCCCCCCGGAAGGGCTGGAGGAAGTGTCTAGGGAGAGGGAAATCTGCTTAGACTGCTGCCTCCGTGACTCGGCTCCAGATAAGCAGAAGAAGATGATAATGACACTGTTTTTGTTGTTTTCTTCCAGGAGATACTCAAAGCTTTACTGGAAGACTTACAGAAGGAACTGAGGACATCTGTGAATCATGGACAGAATCTGTGTAAAACTGCTGAAGATATTAAGGTTTGAAATAAACAATATGATTAATGCAATTCTGGAAGTGTAGATACTGATGTAGATCTAGTTTGGTCAATATTGCGGTCTCTAATTTCAGTTTCACGCTCAAGGCACAGAGAAGCAGATTAAAGAAGAGTTTGAGGAACTTCACCAGTTTCTACATGATGAAGAAGCGGCCAGAATAACAGCGCTGAGAGAGGAAGAGGAGAAGAGGAGTCAGATGATGAAGGAGAAGATTAATGGGACGAGCAAACAGATTTCATCTCTCACAATCACAATCAGAGACATCGAGGAGCAGATGAAGGCTGAAGATGCTTCATTCCTGCAGGTGTCAATTCATCTTCATTATTCTCCAATTATATGAATGTCAATTTCAGAGATTTAAGCCAAACTCAAATTTTTATTCTTTATTCTTTACAGAACTTTAAGGCCACATTGAAAAGGTTTGTGTTTGTTTGTCTCTGTGCTTCTGAACTCAAATCATCACTCTTAGGCCCCGTTTACACGAGAACGATTCCGGGTGAAAACGTAAAAATATTTTATCGGATGTGCCTTTCGTTTACACGGCGACGGCGTTTTGGGGGCTTAAAAACGCAAAAAAGTGAAAACACCCTCCAGAGTGGAAATCTTAAAAACGCTCCACCGTCGCGTTCCCGTCTAAACGGTAAAAACGCAAATCTGCTCACGGTGGCTCTCGTCGCGTACGCGTTTACGTCACATGCATGCGCCAGTACAGGAAAATAACAACCAACATGTCAGATTATTTCCATACGTCGGACCTTCAAGTTGCCCTAGCAGCTCTGAAAAACATACAAGAGTCTTTTCAGCAGTTGTAAAAAATATTCTAAGATATTGGTGTTGTTGTGTGGCAGTGCTTCACATTGCCCCTAGCCGCCTGGAGTGCATACTACATCGAATTTCACACACTTTTGCGTCACCATATGCACGCGGATTTCCCAACCATAACGCTCGTCTAAACGCAGAATAAAAAGTGATAACGCAACCCCACTTTTGCGTTTTCTCTTCAGATCGTTTCCGTGTAAACATAGCCTTAGAAGAAAAGGTTCTTCCTAAAATAATTACCCAAGTGATTTTTTCAGGTTTCTCAGAGAACACAAACTAAAACAGCCTAAGTCACACTCTTGACATTGGCAATTATACGACAGGTAAGGGTTAATGCTGTAAGGGGTATACAGTCAAAGACCCAGAACCAGATATGAAGAATGAAGACCCGGAGTCAGAATTATAAAAAATTAAAGAAAAGTTTTACTGAAGATAGTTTGCATTTTCATCAGCAGAAGTCAGCTTCAAGACTCACACAGGAGTTCGTAGGCCGCCCCACTTACAGTTACAAAGATCACAGCAGTTATACCATTTCCAAGGTCTAAGCTACGTCATTGCTTACAGGTTGAATGATTCTCATTGGCTAAAAAACATGAAAGCCTAAACAATTTAACACATGTGAGGAGATAGGGGTGCCTATCGCCATTAGTAAAGATAGTTGTCGTCCACTCATTGGATTTAGGTCTGTGGTGGCCTCGCAGGTTAGAGAAGGGCGCCGGGGTGTCTGGTCCGAACGTCCAGAACCTACATAGAATGTCATACGCACACACACACAAATAACAGACACTAGCAAATAACAGCTCCCATCAAGGCTGAAGAGAGTCTGAGCTCCTTATTATCAGTTAAGTATACCAAAACATAATGCTAAAACATTCACTCGTTTGGGAGAAAAACAGATAACTGGCATTTACTCCCAAGGAAGGAAATATACTGGAAAGAATACATTTTAATACAACAATTAAAGTTTGATAGTAACGCTCAATATAGCTTGACCATATGTCCAGCGAAGAATCATATGTGCCCACGCTGCCTTTAGGACCCTCTAACCTTTCTACTGATCCCAGAGAAAGAGACAAACGGCCTTGTGGGTTCCGTGGCCTTCGTGTCCTGCGTGTACTACGTGCAATCTCAAAGTAAGATTGGAATGCACCTAAAAGAAACTGGTTACTTGCATCCATGCATTTAAGAAAATATAATTTCACAGGCACAAGAATATAAAAATGATTATGTGATAATGAATATATTTGATTATTGATTTTTATAAAGGAAGTATATAACCATTCAAAATGATATATGATTATATATGTATTTGAAGAGGCAAGGGATTTTGACCAACCCTTTGTAAGGGGTATACAGTCAAAGACCCAGAACCAGATATGAAGAATGAAGACCCGGAGTCAGACTTATAAAAAATTAAAGAAAAGTTTTACTGAAGATAGTTTGCATTTTCATCAGCAGAAGTCAGCTTCAAGACTCCCACAGGAGTTCGTAGGCCGCCCCACTTACAGTTACAAAGATCACAGCAGTTATACCATTTCCAAGGTCTAAGCTACGTCATTGCTTACAGGTTGAATGATTCTCATTGGCTAAGAAACATGAAAGCCTAAACAATTTAACACATGTGAGGAGATAGGGGTGCCTATCGCCATTAGTAAAGATAGTTGTCGTCCACTCATTGGATTTAGGTCTGTGGTGGCCTCGCAGGTTAGAGAAGGGCGCCGGGGTGTCTGGTCCGAACGTCCAGAACCTACATAGAATGTCATACGCACACACACACAAATAACAGACACTAGCAAATAACAGCTCCCATCAAGGCTGAAGAGAGTCTGAGCTCCTTATTATCAGTTAAGTATACCAAAACATAATGCTAAAACATTCACTCGTTTGGGAGAAAAACAGATCACTGGCATTTACTCCCAAGGAAGGAAATACACTGGAAAGAATACATTTTAATACAACAATTCAAGTTTGATAGTAACGCTCAATATAGCTTGACCATATGTCCAGCGAAGAATCATATGTGCCCACGCTGCCTTTAGGACCCTCTAACCTTTCTACTGATCCCAGAGAAAGAGACAAACAGCCTTGTGGGTTCCGTGGCCTTCGTGTCCTGCGTGTACTAAGTGCAATCTCAAAGTAAGATTGGAATGCACCTAAAAGAAACTGGTTACTTGCATCCATGCATTTAAGAAAATATAATTTCACAAGCACAAGAATATAAAAATTATTATGTGATAATGAATATATTTGATTATTGATTTTTATAAAGGAAGTATATAACCATTCAAAATGATATATGATTATATATGTATTTGAAGAGGCAAGGGATTTTGACCAACCCTTCAGTCCCCCGTTTTAGACCAATGTGGGGTCCAATACCGCCACGTCTGGTCTAACCAGTGAGGTCACTACGGAAGGGAGGAGTGGTGACGCATGCTCCCCTGCCGGGTCACACTTGTCTCTTCACCTCGTCATGGACATGCTGGATACTAAAAATTCCAGTCCCCATTAAGAGGCTCTCCCACCATCCACTCACAACAGGACATCAATGTCATTCTTCCTCAGTTTATCAGTCAGGTTAAAATTTTTATAAAACACATAACTGATTACGAAACAAGTACATATTTTTTCTTTGGAAGCCAGGCTAAATAAGCAAGCACTATTGCTGTATTCCTACTAGCATGGGCTAGATCCACAGTCACTACTCAGATCCTAAATAAAGACATTGTCTATAATCATGAATACCAGAATATATGCACTAGTTTTTTTTTTTTTATAAAATTATGATTTCCAAATCATTTTATTATAAACAAAGTTGGATGGTTAATCCATTATTTTCACTACCCCTTTTATAGACCCTTTAGGTTTAAAACACAATGGTTGTCTCACTAAAATAAACAACAAACAATAAAATATTAATAATTAAGACCCATAATAATCGATGTAAGCACTTTAAGTCTTTACTGAAATCATCCTTCAGTTTACAGTCACATAGCATGTACCATTTTAATTGTATAACATCTTATACCCTTTTTTGTTTGTTTCAAAAATAGAAATAAAATAAAACAAATTCACATCATCATTTCAGTCATTACTTTACCACTAAAATATAGGATCGTTCCCCATTCTGCTTAATAAAGCTTTTGTTCATTCCTTATCCTTATATCACTTGAATCCCTGTCAATCATACAATGTCTAACCCTAACCTTTTTCATACCATTTAAACTTAATTTGACTTCCATAAATCCTATCAGAAATTGTATTTTCATAACATACATTTTCTTCTACTATATTTCTTCCATCTTGCCCTACATGCCAGTTCCTTCTGCATCCGAGTCTCTCACCACTGTCAGCCTAGTGACACTTAAAGTTCCCTCGTTAGGGGAATCATGGTATTTTATTAATTCTTCAATACTCTTGTTTTCTTATCATTAACTTCAACTTTATTTTTCATTATAACTACTTCTCACAGTATTTGTCTCAGTTCCACTTATCTTTACAGTTTTACAGAAACCAAAATATTATGTTACTCAGATCCCAGCCCACAGCCATATAGCTGCTTTCTCTTTTTACCTTTATTAAATTGTAGTTTTCTTAGACATCTAATGTCATACATACCTTTAAGGGATTGAGAAATAAAGCCTTTTCTTTTTAGAAGTTATATTCACTCCTTCTTTGTTCGCCCTCCGGCCTTTCAATAAAAATGAGGGAGCTCACTCTGGATAATTTGGATAGTGACTTAGCCAATGTGTCACTTTGTCTCTCTGCCGTCAAGTCTATATATATATATATTTTTTTCCTACGTTTATCCTTATGATCCCACCTAGTTGTCTATTTAAATTTAGACCCTCAGTTGAATTTAGACAAGAGTTTTACCCCATAATGGACGGCAATCTTCTTTACAATTCCAAATTATATAAAATACTAATCCAGAGAGTAATTCAGTTCAATATCATAAATGACAAAAGCATTCATAATTACCAATAGCAGACAGAGATGGAGAACCACTTCAATTAAAGCTCGTCCCATGTTCTGCATTGTCTTTTCATCAGATTGTCTTAGAATTATCAACTTTTTTAAAGTTGGTCATTTCACTTAACCCATCTGTAATGATAAAACACTAATTCCAGAGGTTAATGACAATATCCTCAAAATCAGGAAATAATAGTACCCCAAACTAATACATACAAGACATAAAGTGCTGTCACCATCACACGCACTCATACTAGACACACATATGTTAACTGTTCATTTTCAATGTTCATTTTTCTTTATATTATTGCTAAAAGATTTAAATTTTAAATAAGATTTTAAACTTCCCATTTTCCGGTAGCTTCTACCTAATTTTACATGGTCTCCCAACCAGTTTCAAAGCATGCCTGTTCATTATTCATTAGAATTTAACAAGGTCAGCTGGGTTGTTTTGTTTCATTATCATTATTTTGCTTCAGCTTGCTCTAGCAGGCCAATAATGGAAAGACAGACACAGTTACCATCCCTTCCTCTGCTCAAGCAGTCTCT